TCCCCCTTCCCTTGTCTATTGTGAGCCGCCCGGAGTCCTTCGGGAGTGGGCGGCATACAAGACAAATAAACTAAACTAAACTATTCTTCTCTCCATCCATCCATCCACCCCCTCTCTCTAGCTGTCATCTTATTTATCCATCCATCCAATCTATATAATCTAACTCTATCATATCTACCCATCCATCCATCTCTATCTATATATCTATTCAATCTGTATAATCTATCATCTTATCTGCCCATCTATCCATCCATGCATCTCTATCTGTATATCCATCCATCCATCTAATCTATATAATCTCTCATCTCTCTAACTGTTATCTACCCATCCATCCAGTTCTATCTATATATCCATCCATCCATCCAATCTGTGTAATCTATCTTATCAACCCATCTTTCCATCTATCCATCCATCGCTCCATCCAATCTGTATCTTTGTCTCTGTTATCCATCAATCGATCCATATATATAATCTCTCTAGCTATCATTTTATCTGTCATGTATCATTTTATCCATCCATCCATGCCTCCCTCTCCATCCATATCGACTCTATCATATCTACCTAGCCATCTACAATCTCTCTCTCTCTCTCTCTGAATCTGATTAATCAATTTGCAACCTCAGCATATCTAAGACCTCCCCAGGAGCTACCACCACGCTGACAATGAGGCTTATGGGGTAGAGAAACTATAACGCGTGTTGGGAGTTCGTTCTTCAACCTGAGGACCTGAACTCATCTGTCTGAGTGGAAAGAGACTCTCCAAAGGGGCAACCAAGAGCCTGTGGGAACAAATAATACCTGTTTCCTCGTCTCTGGGACGACTTTCCGGTCCAGGAATCCCAGCGGGCCCGTTCCAGCTCTTCAAATTTTTGGTGATAGGTCAGATATGTTTCATCTGAAGTGTCTTCCAGCTAGAAAAAAAGAAAGTTAAGGACAAAAGGTCTCCAATTGAGTTTGGAAATTGGGGGCGGGGGGGGGGCGGGAAAAGAAGGAGAAAGACAAAGAGGAGGAGGAAAAAGACCATGGGTTCCTTAGGGCTCTCCAAGCTTGGTGGTTTTCTTGCAGACATTTCATGACATCACTAGGAAACATCATCAGTTCTAGTACGGAGGAATGTTTGCAAAGAGGAGGAGGAGGGAGGAGGAAAAGGAGGAAGAGGAAGGATGGGGTGGGTGTCCTTGGTCTCTTTTCTTGCAAACATGTCATCACCCAACTAGGCAACAGCATCAGAAGGGAAGGGGGTTTACAGAGAGGAGGAGGAAAGGGAAGAGGAGGAGGAAGAGGAATAAAGGGAAGTAGAGGAGGAAGAAGGGAGGAGGAAGAAGGGAGAAGGACTGGGGCGTTTTTGGTCTCTTTTCTTGCAGACATTTCATGACCCATCTAGGCAATAGCATCAGACAGGAGGAGGAGGAAAGGAAGGAGGAGGAAGAATACTGCATTCAGTTTTGGTCGCCACAATGTAGAAAAGATGTGGAGACTCTAGAACAGCTGTTCTCAACCTGTGGGTCGCGACCTCTTTTGGGGTCGAACAACCTTTTCACAGGGGTCGCCGAGGAGCCTCCCGCGGAGAGGCTGGCGAGAAGCCGGCCCGAAGGGAAGGAGCGGCTCGGGTTCCCCGTGCAGTGGAAGGAGAGGTTTGTGTGTGGGGGAAGTAGGAGCAGGAATGGAGGCAAGGAAGGGGAAAAGAGAGACGTGCGCAGCACAGAGGACGCTGGGAAAGCAGCTTGCTCCGAATGATGGAAGTTGATGGGCAGAGCTACGGAAGCCAAGAGGTACCATTTCTGAAGCGTAAAACAAGGCGGGGAAAATAAAATAAAAGAATGTGGCATGCGTCTACGCGGAGATTCCCTATTAAGACTGTTACCCATGCTTAGCAAGGGTAACAGTCTTAATAGGCTTTGGCCCCTCTCCTGCGGCTCCCTGCTGACCCAATCGCACAATATGCTCTCTGACCTGAGAAGGCATGAGCCTCTCACCTGCTTTTGCGATTCCACGTCCTTCGCAGGTAACTCCGTGTCGGGAAGAGCTCCAGCCCTTTTCTTGCGCTCATCTCGTGTGCGCAAGCAAAATACCCTCCTGGGCCAGGATCAAGGTGGAGGGGACGACGACTCTCCTCCCACTGTTGCCACTGCGCAGTGAGGTGAGTAACTGGGTATGCCGCGCAGGAGACTCCGCAGCACCTGACTCAGGTCAGCGCAAGCCGCGGTCCCCTTCGTGTTGGCTCAGGAAGGAGAATGGGGAGCAGCAGCAGCAGCTTGTTGGGTGCAGGGAGGAAAGAGCTCCAGTTCTCCTACGCTGTGCAGGGCTCTGGAACTCTTCCCTCTCTGCATCCAGAGACGGCTGCTCCGGCTCTTTCCTGAGTCAACACGAAGGGGACCGACCTGAGTCTGGAGCTGAGGAGTCTCCTGCGCAGCGCAGCCAGCTACTCACTTCTCAGTGATGGCAGCAGAAGGAGTTGCTGTCCCCGCCGCCGTGATCCCAGCCCAGGAGGCTATTTTGCTTGCACGCGCAAGAAAGAGTTGAAAGAGAAAAGGGGAGAAACAGAGAGAGAGAGAGAGAGAGAGAAGTGAAAGAGAGCTGGAAGGAGAGAATGGGAGGGAGGGAAAATAGAGGGAAACAAATCAGGGGGAAAGAAAAGAAGAGAAAAGAAAGAAAAAAAGAAACTAACTAACTTTCTCAGACCTATGACGAAAGCAATGGGAAGCTAGATCACTTGTCAAGAAAACTGCAGTTTGCCAGAAGGCACAAATTGGAAGCAAGTCTGATTTTAAAAAAAGAAAATAACAGANTTTTATTGATTAAATTAGCATTTCCGTACAACTGCATAGCATCGACTGCTTTTCTGAATAGAAAAGTCTAGAAAGCGTTGGTTGAAATCATGATTGGTCGTTTTGTCGTCCCCCCAAAAAAAAAAGAGAGATCAGGATAGACCATGTTTCCAAGTTAGGAAAAACCACCAATTCCAGAAAGGGTTTTGCATTCGGAAAACCGTGAATTCTAGAACGACATAGATCAAAATGATAAATTGTGTGAAATTTATCGCCCTTTCCTGCAGACCCCTCTTTCATAGCCCCCACCCCAATAACCAGGGGCTCCGGGGACGAAGCCCATCATCCACTAATCAATCTCCCCAATCAATCCACACTTTCTTCCTGCTTTTGAGGTCCCGATCAATGGCGTCCGTTCCCAACCGTCCCCTCTTGGTGTGTGTTGCGGCCTCTTCGCTTCCCCCTTTTTTGAGGGGTGGTCTCCCGCAGCCCCTAACCTTCCTTCCTGTGTGGTGCTCCGAATCCTCACACCTACCGATGGGCTTATCCAAATCACACCCTCCTCCCGCCCCACAGAGGCTTGGTGAATGGCCCCTGCCGGCCCTTCCTCGACGGTCATGGGGAACTCCTAGTCCAAAGATGGACCTCCACTTTGTGCCTGACTTTCCCGGTGGCGGGCTTGCCAGCCGAGCTCAGTGATGCCTCTCTAGAGTGTGGGTGCAACTCTCCCGACGTCTTCTCTCCGGGGCCCGAGAGGTCATCTGTTGTTCAACGTGGGCGTGACGAAGCAACAAGGCTCGGCCTGGTGCTGCCGATCGCCGTCCTTGGGAGGCATCAGATGCTTGGCTGGGAGCACCTCTCTCGGGTGAGAGAGGCCAGCGGCGTTGATGTGGTTAGTCCTCAAGGCTTTGTCCCACTGCTGGCCAAAGGTTTTGTGGGAGGGGTCCTGGAGTGCCCGGTAGTCAGCGTTGGAAAGCGGGAAGGTGCGGGGTTCCCAAGGTGGCACGTTCTGGAGAGGAGAGGAAGAGCAGTTAGTGGAAGGGAAGGAGAATTCGGCAAAGGAAGACCCATACAGGTAGTTCTTGACTTATGACCAGTTACTTAGTGACCGTTTGTAGTTATGACATACCTTGGCTGGAATACAGGTAGTCCTTGACATCTAAGTATTCATTCAGTGACTGTTCAAATTTACACTGAAAAAAGTGACCAATAACCGTTTTTCACACTTATGACCATTGCAGCATCCCCATGGTCATGCGATCCAAATTCAGACGCTTGGCATCCGACTCATATTTATGACAGTTACAGTGTCCCGGGGTCAGGTGATTCCTCTTCTGCCAAGCAAAGTCAGTAGGATAGATTGTTTTACTTAACAACTCTGCTACTAAGTCAACAACTACAGTGATTCACTTAACAACTATTGTGACTAACCAGCACAATAGAGCCCAAAATTTATGTTGCTAGGCGATACAGTTGTTAAGTGAGTTTTGACCCATTTTATGCTCTCACCAATGTTGTTCAGTGAATCACTGCTGTTGTGAAGTCAGCCCCGCGGTTGTTAAGTGAATCAGGCTTCCCTGTTGATATTGCTTGTCAGAAGGTCGCAAAAGGGGAACCTGGGATACTGAATCCGTCATAAATATGAGTTGCCAAGCGTCTGAATTTTGATCACATGACCATGGGGATGTTGCAAGGGTCATAAGTGTGAAAAACATCAGTCCCTTTTTTCAGTGCCATTGGGACTTAAAACAAACTGTTTTAAACCAAGGACTTCCTGTAATCCAGTTTTCAATGTTTCCTGCTGGCTTCCCCTATACAGTCAATGGGGAAGCCAGCAGGAAGCCAAGGTTACATGAGCTCATTGCTTAATGATAGCAATCAGAACTTTCAGAATTGCTATTGTTAAGCTACAACATTGTGTTTTGCGACATCTCTCAGCGACTGAAACTCTGCTCTTGGTTATGGTCCCAAGCCGAGGACTGCTTCCAATTTCTGTCATAACCTGAGGACTGCATTGTTGATGTAATAACCAAGTCCTCTGAAGCGGTCTCACCTGGATCTCGTCTGTATTGAAGGAAGAGTCTTCGCTGAAGGAATTCCCTCCTCGGCCTGTTAACACCAGGGACATTGGGACGTTGAAGGGGTCCGGGCTGAGTGACGTGGTGGGCGAGTTGGCACCCTGAGGGTAGTGAAGAATATTCAGCAGGCTGTCCTGGCAGCCAGGAGGAGGCACCCAGTGCCCATCAGCTTTATGGGAGGAGCTCCTGGAAAGAGAACGGAACAGAGTGCAGGAAGCCTAACTTAGCAGGGTCTCTAAAGAGATCTTGGGACAGTGGA